AAAAAAAACACCCCAGTTTAATAACCAAATAGAGTAAATCTGGAAGTTGAGTCATGGCAACTGGACTTCTTTCCTGTTAGGTTGAAACATTTTACTACTCATCCAAGTAGCTTCTTCAGTCTGGAAGAAACTACTTGGATGAGTAGCAAAATGTTTCAGCATAACAAAAAAGAAGTCCAGTTGCCATGGCTCAGCTTCAAGATAACCTCACCTAGATGACTGAGAATTTTCATAAACTGAGTAAAGCAACCAAATGGTAGGATTTAAGCATCCCTACATCATTCCTGGTTTCAGTTACAAAATTTACAGTCCAATCACCCCTTTTGGAAAAAAGTCAATAACTTGGACAGCTTTTTATGTTAATGGACTGTGGCTTGTTTGTTTTTAAAATTTATGTCATTTATTGAAAGAGTGATGGTATTGATGCCATGTGGGATCCCCCAGAAGGCCGAAACAAAGATCTTCACCTTTACATTAAGTATGTTTGTCACCACACCCGGACTGAAACAACAAGAAACCAGACTTAACATACAATTATTGTAGAAGTGGTCTAGTACAGTGGTGCCTCACTTAACGAGTGCCTCGCTCAATGATGAATTCGCATAACGATGGCCTTTGCTGGAAATTTTGCCGCCTCACCTAACGATGTTTCCTATGGGGGATTTTCGCATAACGATGTTTGGGACCTTGCTTCACTTAACGATGACAGTTTTAGGTCCCCTATTTCACTTAATGTTTTTTTTTTTTGACAGCCCTGTTTTCGCTATTTTAAAAATATTTTAAAATGTTTAAAATGTTTAAAATGCTTGGAATCATTAGTGCACCTAATAAAACCTTCATTAAAGTAATTTGGCTTCGTTCTGAGTCTTTTTGAATTTTTGGTGATTTTTTTTCACCATTGAAATGTATTGAATAGGCTCCTATTGGAACGGATTAACCGGTTTTCAATGCATTCCTATGGGAAATGGTGTTTCACTTAACGATGTTTTCACATAACAATGTTTTTAATGGAACCAATTAACATCGTTATGCGAGGCACCACTGTACTAGGAAAGGGTTAATTTGAGTTGGCCAGGTAGTGATCTCAGTGCTGAAGCAGCTTGATGACTCACAGGTATTAGACAGCCAAGCTTGTTCAAAGATTTTTCAACTAGCAGCCCAGGACAAGCTTGTTTGTTCTGGCTGTGCAGCACTGCACATCTTCTGATAGCTGGGTTCCTGCTGGAGCCATGGTGACAGACCACAAAGAACCAGAAAAAGCCTTATGGCTGTAAATAACTTAAGAGTCTTTATGTATCAGATATATGAGGGATTTTATCTTTATATTTTTACCATTGTGTCTGAGATTCAAAGGATGTTTGCACATGTTTAATTCATTAAAGAAATGCCAGAAAAGGAGCACTGCATTTCTAGTTTGTTCTTATTTTGAATTCTGTCTTGTACTCTTTGTTTTATAATAAAGTTTATAAAAATCAAGTGTGGTCCAGTTCCTTTGACTGCTCTGTATGGATACCAGATTCACTCTAATTAGGGTGAGGTGGAAAGCCTTTATAAAAATCTCCCAATCACTGCAAGGGAAACAGATTTCTCACAACCAGTGAGCATAAGGAAAAGAGTATATGAGGGGGAAAGGATAGAAAGAGAGGTGGTGGCACTTTTATCAGATGAAAAAGTGGGGCTCTTCATCTCCATGTAAACTGGAGGCTGAGGAAACACATTGCTCCATTCCTTCAACACTCTTTTAAGAACCTGAAAAGCTAGTACTTAGCTTGTTTTAGAAGCAGCATTATATATGGTGAGTTCAGGAACAAACAAACAAAAATAGTGAGAGAAGTCAGCTACTTCATCTATGTTTTCTGTTCCCAGTTGTCACTCTAGAAATGGCTTTTACTTATTGGACTGACATTACAATTCATTGTAGTTTGGATTGCTAATAAAATGCTAGAGGAAGAACAAAATGCTGGCAAGTAGAAGATATTCTGACATTTACTACTGAATTTAATATTCCTTAAGAAGATTAATGCTAGTTTCTTTCCAAGACCCATATCTATCTTACCTAACATTTATTTTGCTCACTGCAGGCCATGTTTAGGAATAACAGCATCATTTCTACAATAGCTTATCTTTGTAGAAGGCTTTTTCATCCTGTAGCTATAGAAAATAGAGACCTTTGGGTAGAGTGGGTGGCATATAAATTAAATTAAAATAAATAAACAAACAAATAAACAAACAAACAAATAAATAAAAAATAGCTAAATGAGATCTCTGCATATTCTGGGTGAACAAGGGATCAATATACCACATTTGGATAGGTAAGTGTTATTATTGATAAAATGTGATCATGTTTAATCAAATGTACTTTCTGTAAGCATCATCAAGTGGCAGATTTTGTCAACTGATGGTTGTAAGGGGAAGAGAGTAAAAAGATTATGTGCTATGAGAAAGAATAATGGGATTAAGCAAAAAGAATGCTAACATTTAAAAGAGAACGGATTTTTACCAATGCAAGCATTTTCTGCAGACAACATAACGACAACAATGGTTCTCGAACTAGTGAAAATATAAAAGTGGTATTCTGAGCAATTTCAAGTCTTTATCTAGTTGTGCACAGAACATGGAAGATAGGTCGGTTTGACACAGTGATCTGACTTGAGTAGAAGTGGAGAGACTGACATTCAAATCTGTACTTAGTCATTGTGAAACACACTAAGTGCAACTACACAGCTGAGAATGTGTACTGATCCACTGTGAATTCACACCTGAGAACTTGGATTTCCCTGGATGAATCTGATTTAGCTGATAGAACTCTCTCTTTTCTCTTGGGTGCTGTAGCACAGCTTTGTTTCAGTGTTGACACCAAACGTAAAAAGAGTTGGAAGGGCCGATAAGGCCATCGAGTCCAACACCTGCTCCTTGCTGTAATCCAAATCAAATTCACATTGAATTCTATGTCATGTAGTCAATGAAAAATAATAGAATCCTGATCATTCCAATCCCAGAGCAAATTATTTGTCAACTTAGTTGACCCCTGAGTAATCCTGGACAGGAATCTATTTGTTAGCCTAACTTTCCCTATAAGCTATTTACTAATTATGTGCATTCACTATAATGGAGGTATTATGAACTACATATGCAGAAATGCAGAATGCTAGTATAACTCAGTCATTTAACAAGGAACAAAAGCACAGATTCTTAAGGTGCTCATGGTAAAATAAATGGGAAAAGAAGTGCAGAATGAATCGGCCGAAGAATCGGTAAAAGTGGTTTGGATTTAACAAAGCATTTGCTGTTTAGAGCTGCCACATCTGAAGTTGAAAGAGCTATGACAACATCCAACTCCACATAGGAGAGGAACAAAAATAATTAAATGCCTCACAGTTAAAATCTGTTGCAAGGAGAGAGAAAAAAAGAAATTGGGGGCCACAAAACAAAAAAGCAGAATTTGCATGGAACATGGAAAAGGAACAGGCTGCACTCACAAACTCACTTACTTTGGAGTAAGCACATACAGAATTAATGTCTGAGTACACTGGAAAGCTTTGCTGCAATTTGATTTGCAGCCTGTATTATGTTTGAAATTGAAGTCAGTGTTCACATAGGGGTTGCAGATTGATTTGAGAATTCATTATTCATACTGGATGTGATGTGATTCACATTTCAGCCCTCAGCTTCCCCTTTTTTCCTCCCTTCCTCTGGTCCCACCTTTGCCAAACCAATGGCGGAGGTGTCTGTATAAATAGGAGAAATAACAACAACAATGACTTATCAATAAGGTCATAGGATGATTTAACACTAATCTCCTATATGTAAGAATTTTTTAAAAAAATCAAAATTCAGATAACAATTGGGGGAAAGAATGCAAAGGCGTGTTCCCCCAGTCCTGAACATTATGCCCCAACTATGTACACATCACCAAAACACCATCTACGGACATGCTTGCCTGTCTTTATAAGAACACATCACAACTACTGTAACTCCATGGGAAAAATCCCAGCTGAATTGTTCTCACTTGAAAAATAGAAGCCTTTTCCCCAACCCCACCCACAGAGACAGAAAAAAATCTGCTTTGGGAGCAAAAAGCACTAGATCAAATTAGCATTTGCAGCATGTGGACAGTAAAAAATACCTTGAATTCACCTGTTTCATAAGCAGAAAAAATCCTGCAATATTTAATCATGTAGTCGCAGACTTAAACTGTGCCAAAATTCTAGGGAAACCAGTACCAAATGCAACACTTTATAGGCGAAAATTGCACATTTTATGACATTTAGGCTATAGTCCTGAATACATTTGTTGCTATGTGCCATCAGATCAGTCTGACCAATGGAAACTGTAACAGGGTTTTCAAGGCATGTGAGATGTTCAAGGTCTGGTTTTACTAATGTCACCTGCCAGTGAGCCTCCATGGTTGAGCACCGAACTGAACCCAGGCCTCCTGACTCTTAGTCCCACACCCCAAAAGTTCTTGTTGTTCTTATGAAATGTCAAGTCTTATGTAACCTTGTAGGGTTTTTAAGGTCTACGAGAAGTTTAACGAGTTTTTTTTCCTTCCTCAGGGCCGTCTCCCAGTGAGCTTCTATGGCCAAGCTGGGATTTGAACCCAGGTCTCCTGAGTCCTAGTCTCTCACTCCATCCACTATCCCACACTGGCTCTCAAATTCACTTGCCTGGGAGCAAGCCCCATTAAACTCTGTGGGATTTAAGTCACAGTAAGTACTGGAGAAGAGAACGGGGCACTGCCCGAAAACAGACCTACCACTAATATCCTCCTTATCTCTTTGGAAACACCCACTCGAGGCCTGAAAAGAGAACCAGCGCCAGCGCTCCGACCGCATCTGAACATCCCCTCCGAAGACGCAAGGCACAACCGGGCGGGGAAGCACGTTTCCCAGGCAACGAAAAGCCTCAGCTCAGCTCTCGCGAGGTTTTGTGCTTCCCTGCCGCCATTCCCAACGCCTCTTGCGTACGACTAACGTAAAGATACACGGGAGGGCTTTTAATAAGGGGAAAAGATAAACCTCCTACATTTCCCAGAGGCCTCCTGTGCTCCACAGTTCTCGCGGGAATGTCTCCCGCTCAGTCCTAGCGCCTTCGGCGTTGCGGACGGCGCGGCGGTTGAATTTGGGCCGCTGTGGGAAGGAGGCGGTGATGGATGAGTGTGCTGGAGCCGTTTTGGCCGCCGCCGCCGCTTCGCCTCCTCTTTCCCAGATAGAGTTGTCGTTGTCCCCGCTCATCCGGAAGCTCCGTAAGTGCCTCGCTGGCCCCCTTATCCTGGAAAGAGTGCCGTTGGGGTTCACCCTCCGTGGGCTTCCCAAAAGTAGCGCCTGTCTTCTGAGGGGGAGACAGGAAAACCTCTGTCCTTTTCCCTCCGGCATCGGTGTTTCCGGGCGGGTCAGCTGTGGGCAAGCCGAGTTTAAATAGATATGTGTGTTAACTTTCTAAAATAGAACGACCCTGTTTACTCGAGAGTAAGTCGCTTGGCTCCCACGGGGCGATACAGGGTCGCAGCCTAACAGGGCAGTTCGGTGCATGTCTTCTCCAGAGTAAGACCTGCTTCGGTCAGATAGTAAATGAGGATAGCATTGTAGCAGTATTCTAACATCTTTTGCACGTTTCCTAGGGAGTAGGTTCTACTGAGCAAAATTAGAAAATGGCAGTGTATCCCACCTGCAAAAACAAAAGGTACAAATGTAGGAGTAGGCGATACTTTTATTGGATCACCAAATCAAGTAGACAGCTAGCTTTCCATGATAATTCATCTTCCTCAGGCTTTCCACAAAGATCTTGTGTATTGTGTTCCCCAAGACTCTCAAGGGCAGGGATCCGATCTACATTGGGCAAACTGCATCCTACATCAAAGACTGGAGATGTTTCATAAATAAGATCAGCACCCTAAAACTCAACCCCAGGACAGACTGATCAGCTTTGATGTAGTATCCTTATTCACCAAGGTAAATAAAGGACATTCTGACACTCATCTAGCAGCGCTTTCCAGAAGACATCAAGGCCCTTATCGAACACTGCCTAAGGACCAGTTACTTTCAGTGGGATAATTCTTCCATTGTGGGGAGGAGAAACTGCTTTTGACACTTTGGGAGCAACTGTCCCCTCCTTGAACAATACTAACTTTTCTTATTTCTTGAAAGCGTGTGATTACCTTGGTTTGTTTTCCTTCAGCTTTGTCACTATTGGTAATAAAGTAATCCAACTGTTTCCAGGGAAACTTTTTGCTTTCCAGAAGACATCAAGGCCCTTATCGAACACTGCCTAAGGACCAGTTACTTTCAGTGGGATAATTCTTCCATTGTGGGGAGGAGAAACTGCTTTTGACACTTTAGGGGCAACTGTCCCCTCCTTGAACAATACTAACTTTTCTTATTTCTTGAAAGCGTGTGATTACCTTGGTTTGTTTTCCTTCAGCTTTGTCACTATTGGTAATAAAGTAATCCAACTGTTTCCAGGGAAACTTTTTATATTTATTGCAATGAACGTTGTCATTGCCATGCCCTCCACAGCACACCCAGATAAATTTATTGGATATTCTTTCTATCTAGAGCCAACCATGGAACAGGTTTCTAGAACATGTTGTAGAAAGGTAAAAACAAAGTAAAACCAAACAGTGGGAGCAACTGTCCCCTCCTTGAACAATATTAACTTTTCTTATTTCTTGGAAGCGTGTGATTACTTTGGTTTATTTTCCTTCAGCTTTGTCACTGTTGGTAATAAGGTAATCCAACTGTTTCCAGGGAAACTTTTTATATTTATTGCAATGAACGTTGTCATTGCCATGCCCTTCATAGCACCACCCAGATAAATTTACTGGATGTTCTTTCTATCTAGACCCAACCATGGAACAAGTTTCTAGAACATGTTGTATAAAGGTAAAAACAAAGTAAAACCAAACAGTACAGTAAAAGAACTACACAAAACAATTCCCAAAAGAGAACAACCTTTGCTTAAAGCAAAATTTTGACTGGATCTCTGAATCTAGTTCATCAGGCCCTAGAACTCTGAATTCATTCAGAGTAATGAAGTGTTCCTTGACTTTTTGTTTATAAATCTCAAGCTTTGATCCCATTCCCTCCACTTGTACTTCACATTTGCATGGAGGATCATAGATTGTCTTTTGGCAAAAGACTGAGCTAAAGTAAGAATTGACCACGTCTGCCTTTTTTTTTTTGCCATATGAAACCATTTTCCCATCCCATTCACTAACAGCCATTATTTCTTTTCTCTGTCTTCTGCTATGTACATTCATAAAGAATGATTTTGTTGTTGTTGACTGGATCTCTGAATCTAGTTCATCAGGCCCTAGAACTCTCCTTGACTTTTTGTTTATAAATCTCAAGCTTTGATCCCATTCCCTTCACTTGTACTTCACATTTGCATGGAGGATCACATAGATTGTCTTTTGGCAAAAGACAGCTAAAGTAAGAATTGACCACGTCTGCCTTTTTTTTTTTGCCATATGAAACCATTTTCCCATCCCATTCACTAACAGCCATTATTTCTTTTCTCTGTCTTCTGCTATGTACATTCATAAAGAATGATTTTGTTGTTGTTGCTTATAGCATCTCCTGCTAACCTCAACTCACTCTCAATTCTTTATTGCCAGTCTGTACTCTTCCTTTGTGTTCTGGCCTTGCTTCCACTTCTTATGTTTGTCTTATTTTGTTTTCAACACCTCTCTGAACTTTTGGTGAAGCCACATTAGTCTTTTTTGTTGTTTTACACCTTTTTTTCCTTGCCATATGAAATCATTTTCCCATCCCATTCACTAACTGAGCCACTATTTCTTTTCTCTGTCTTCTGCTATGTACATTCATAAAGAATGATTTTGTTGTTGCTTATAGCATCTCTTGCTAACCTCAGCTCATTCTCAATTCTTTATTGCCAGTCTGTACTCTTCCTTTGTGGTCTGGCCTTGCTTCCACTTCTTATGATTGTCTTATTTTGTTTTCAGCACCTCTCTGAGCTTTTGATGAAGCCACATTAGTCTTTTTTTGTTGTTTTACACCTTTTTTTCCTTGTTGAAATTGTTTGTAGTTTTGCCTTTAGAATTTCCTTTTTAAGAAACTCCCACTTGTCTTGGACTCCTTTTCTTGGTAGGATATCCTGCCATGGGATCTTACTTATCATTGTTCTGAGTTTATTAAAATCGGCTTTCCTAAAATCCAGCATACTTGTAACTACATTTTTTTTGTTTCCTTTGAAATCAAGAACTCAAGTAGAACATGGTCACTTTCCTCCAGAGTTTACCTTACTGTCATTTCCTCTACCAGATAATCTCTATTGATTAGAATCCAGTCAAGGGTAGCTATTCTCTAGTTTCTTCCTACACTTTTTGCAGGAGAAAATAATCAGCAACACAAGTCAGTAATGTACTAGAAGTCCCATGTTTGGCAAAATTTGCCTCCCAGCAGATATTGGGGCAATTGAAGTCTCCCACTACAATTACAGTGTGTTTCTTTGAAATTCTTGCAAGTTGTTTTTTGAAGTTTTTATCTGCATCTTCTCTTTAATTGGGCAGTCAATAGTAGATGCCAGCTGCCATGTTCCTTTTATTTTTATCACATTTTTTAAAATCCACATTCTCTTGATGGGAAAAGCTCATCCTGTATTTCTAAGAAGGGACATATATTTTGGACGTATACTGTGATCCGCTTCCCTTTCTATTATTTCTGTTCTTTTTGAATCATTTATATCCTTTAATTGCCATTTTCAAGTCACAGGGGTCATCCAACCAAGATTCAGTTATCGTTATCAAGTCATATTTACCCTCCTGAACAAAGACTTCCAGTCACTCTTGCTTGTTTCCCAGACTCTTGGCATTCATATACAGACACTGGAAGATACCAGGTCTGATTTGGAAACCATTTAGAGTCATTCATTGTGAGTATAAAGTTGCATTTTGACATGACTAATAGGTAAATGACAGCCAGCCCTTAACACTTACATACTTAATTCACTAAATGTCCTATGTCTGTGAGCCATGTATGAGAACCAGTCCTGCGCCACAGCATAAAATAATTTTGTTCTTCCATGTCTTCCATTTCCCCCTCTTCTGAACAGGTCATCAGCTGGCTGAAATTAGAGAAAGAGCTCTGAAGAACATTTTGTGTAAACTAGAACATAATTTGATTACATATGTTGATTTGGTGCAAGAAAAGCTGCTATTTCTCAATCTTTTAGAGTGGTTCAACTTTCCTGTGGTACCAATGAAAGAAGAAGTTCTCAGTTTAGTGAGCAACTTGGTAAAGGTATGGCCTTTTGTAGCATTTGTTCCTTTGTGTAGCTTTTAAACAAAACCTAGGAATACAAAAGAATTTTCAGTAGAATCTATCCTTTCATTAGAATTACTATTAGTCCAGTAATACTGGGACTCCCAACAACTAAAATACTAAATTTTTGTTTGCTGAGTTTTATTATATTACACACACTTAATATGTGTATCATGATGTGTTTCATAACTGAAAAATGGTTGGGAGCTAATGTGTTAAACTTCAATATACTGTATGAGCAAATCAGGAAAGCTAATTTTTGAAATGGCAGTTTTCAATTATATTATCTTTAATTTCTTGCCTATTAAAATCTGATTTCAGCACCCATCTGCTGTAGAGCATTTGATTGGGATTGGGGCAGTGGAATTTTTCTCTCAACTGCGTCCAAATGTTGATCCAAATCTGCAAGCTGTGATTGATGGGATTCTGGATGGGTTGTTTATGCTACCTTCAGAAATCTCTTCTGACTATCAAGCAGTATCTGATGAAGCCCAGATCTTCTCAGTGAAGGGTGATGCTGGTAAGTTACACCTTGGTGTACAGTGTATCTATTAGTGAAGTGTGAGCCTTGCACTGAAGTTTACTCAAGTTAGATGTTGCACAAGAGTTGATGACATTCATTTTGTTTCTTGCTAATCTGTGAAATAATATGGGGTTGGGGAGGCAGTTTGAGGATGTCTTCGGAAATGGAAGGAACAGAGGGAATGTAGAGCTATATGTCAGAAAATCCACACAAAACTGGGCTGAAATAAACTAATTTACAGAATTAATAAGCTGAAGCTGCACAGCATAGACACTGTTGTTATTTACTATGTTTTTGTATTTTTCTCTGTTGTGCCATGAAGCTTGTGTTGGATACTTTCACCAAGGGAAAAATCTACAAGAAACAGGAAGACCACCAAAGCAAGAAGCCGGTAGGTAGTTGTATTACTTATATGTAAGTCTAAATGTTTTGGAAAAAGTTTTCCCTTAATATGCTGGTATTCAGTTTTCAGTATGCTTCAACAGATGACTTAGTAAAGTATTGGGGTTGCAAGTTGCATGACTGGATAATTTAATGTGATGACATGGAATCATAATGAAGATCCCAAACATATTGAGAAATAAAACTTGTTGTTTCTGTGAAAGAAGGGAAAATTAATGTTTTGGTTGAGTCTAAAATATTATGCAAATAGTGATGGGGAGCAGCTATAGCTTCTTGATGAAGCAAAGTGAAGATTGAAGGCGATTCTTTGGCATAGGTCAGTCTGACAACGGCAGATTGAGAACCATAGTGGCTGAAAGAATAGTATTTCAAATAGCCAATCAAACTGGTTCTACCTGCATTAATGTTTAGAAACCTTAACAAGGTCAGTAAATTCCAGTCCAACTATTGTATGAAACCAGCACTTCTAGCCATTTTGTCCTTAACTTTGGTTCAAAATAGATCAGTAAAACATATTAGTTCATTGGTGGATTTCTATGAAGAATCTGGTACTTTTGACAGGAAAGGCAGTCCTGCATGTTATCCACAGCCTTACAGAACTCCTAGCAGTGGGAGGTAATTTCTTTCTACCAAGACTGACACACATATTTTTCCAACATTGAATGTGTGTTTAGAGACCAGGCAGACTTGGCCTTCTGTGACTCTTAAGGCCTCTAAGGAACAGCCCATGCCACTCCCTTTCTCTGCACTATTTTTTACCACATCCAGTGCTGCAGTGCGGAGCTCACTGAGCTAAATTACAGCAGAAATTTCTGTTGGGTCTGGAAAGGTGGGGATCTGGTCTCTGAGCACTTTCTCCAGCTCAGTGGGGACATCCAGTATTTCCTATTGCTGCTGAGATAACCTCCCTAGAGCTCTAGGGTTGCAGTGGATGTAATCTAAGCTATTTACTTGTAGATTTCTAACATCAAATATGCCTCTTTTTTACCTCTGTTCAGCATTGGAAAACTGCTGAAAGACAAAATAAAAAAAGTATAGGTTTAATCATTGTTTTGATGAAACATCTTGAGCATTTAAGGCTTTGAAATTTTGAGCATTGGTGATAGTAAAAGTTGTTTGACACAGTGGAAGAAGAAATGGTGACTGGTAAGATCAAATTGATTTATTGTGGAAGCACCATCACTTCTCATGGGAAAAACACTGAATTAATATATGTCTTCACCATGTGAGCTTTCTCTGTGTTTAACATGCAACGAAATTTGCTTCCCTCACAGTCAAACATGGAGTAAAGTGCTTGAGGTTTTCTACATTCCCTTGGTTGTCTTTGACCACAACAGATAGACATGTTCTGTCATCAAGCGAAAGGTACGTCACATTAATTGTAGTCTCCATTCCATCTAATAATGAGGTAACCCATTTTTTGCTTGTAATTGATTATCCTATTAAGGATATGTTTTTGTGGGGTGAAGTAGATTGGAACTGTGCAGATCAATGGTCTAGCCTGTTTATTAGTAGAATGTTTGGTAGGAGGCAAATATGGCATGTGAGAGACAACTGGTCTCTTGGTTACAAGCAAGAAGATATGCTCATTCTAGGGTTGTGTATGAAATAATTATTGAAAGCTCGATTTCTTATTCTTTTCTTCTCCAACTTTTTTCAATATTAAGGAAACCTGAGTCTTGATGTCAGGGTGGGCTTTGATCAAATCACTTTTAAGATTTTGTAGTTGTTAGAGTAACCACAAAACAAATTCCAGATACCTTTGTTGAAATGTACTTTACAGCTCACTGAGAAGCAAAAATCCCAAATTAATTTGGAATACCTGTGAGCTTCTACAAGATGTTATTATGCAAGACTTTCCTGCTGAGATCTTTCTTCAGAGACCAAAGATTGTTCAGGTTAGAAATGTTTTGAATTAAAATATTGCCCTGTCTGGTAATGGTCATGGTAATTAATTCTGGCTGGTCTTACTGGGAAAACTGATAGTTGATATTCCAGGACCCATCCACCTTTGGATGGGCCCTGGAATACTGCTTTAATGGTTAGAGCAGTATAACGTTGCAACCAGTTATCTCTGGAGATGGTGAGTGCTACAACACTTGGAGGCATTCAAGAGAAAGTTAGGCAACCACCTGGCACGTATACTTTGATTTGGATTCCTGCATTGAGCAGGGGGTTGGACACAATAGCATTATAGACCCCTTTCAACTCCATTACTCTAATTCTATGATTTTACAAAGTATACCAGTTACATTTGATGGATAGTTTGGCATAGAGGCAGGGAAAGTCTGTGAATATGTGTTATTTACATAGTCAGGATCTCCTACATGTTCTTCATTGGCTACAAAAGTAGGTGTGAGACCAGTCATATGAAAGGCAGCCCTCCAGCAGAAAAGAAACTGCTGTTTGACTGCCCTCGTGCATGCAGTTTTTGTCTGTTAGATTTTGACCCATAGGTTCTGATGCTTTCACAGTTCGCTTTTGGATCCAATGTGAAACACTTGCTGTTGAAAGGTTCCTGTCCTTTTAATAGTCAAAAATCACCATTAGGTCTCGATTGTGGCAGGAGTGATCTGGTAGATATTTTTGACTAACAAAAGGTCCAGCTACTGTCCTGAGGCTCCCGGAGGCTTCCCCTGGGCAAACAAGAGTCCTAAGGAGCCTCAGAAGCTGGAACTGTTTATATGGGAGATGGGAAGCTTTCAGTTAATTTAAATCAATTAT